CTGCAGGTACCCTACCTGGAAAAAAAGTTTTTATAAATATACATTCAACTGGAACTTTCCGTTTTTAGAAACTGATTTTACACAGAACTACATTTCCTTATAAGAAGTATTTAAATGCATCTTATAGATCCTAGGACCATACTTATACAGGAGGCCATAAAATTCATGTGCAATTTAAAATTGCATACTATTTTAAATTACAAACAAACTTTATGGCCACCTTGTATAATGATTAAAAAATATTTTATTACTTAAGTGTCCAAATTAGATTCTATTTTTCAAAATTTAATTTATATTAAGACACACATAACTGGCTACTGGATAAAAACCTTGTCAAAGTATATAAAAATTCATCTTACCAATGACCTATTATATGCCTATGTATAATAATTATGTGCAAAGAACTAGGTGCTATAAGGAATCTATGTGATAAAACAGAACCCTGGTCCCAAAGAGCTATGTACACTCTCCTACCAAGTCCTCTCAAATCTCTTAAGTCCAGAAGGCAGGGTTTCTCCTTATGGAAATTATGCTGTCCTTCATTAAAACACATCACAATCATGCTTCATCAGAAAAGAGCCCATTTATCCGTATCTTTGCTTCATATCCTCAAGCCAATTTTCTATTTATGACTACATAATTCCTCTATTTATTTTAGCCCAGTATGGAAGTCTTAAATTTTCAGGGCCACTCAATTTGGTCTTTTACATAGAAGTTACTGATATGAAGTTCTGGGACAGTGATTATTTATTATGGATACACTCTCAAATAGTTTAACCACTTTTTATAAAATATACTTAAGATGGCTTTTATTTTTATTTTTTATTTATTTTTAGAGACAGAGTGTCACTTTATTGCCCTCAGTAGAGTGCCGTGGCGTCACACAGCTCACAGCAACCTCCAACTCCTGGCCTTAGGTGATTCTCTTGCCTCAGCGTGCCGAGTAGCTGTCAGTGACGGCGCATAGCATAGTGCCTGGCTATTTTTTTTTTTTTTTTTGGTTGCAGCCATCATTGTTGTTTGGTGGCCCAGGCTGGATTTGAACCTGCCACCTTAGGTGTATGTGGCTGGTGCCTCAGCCACTTGAGCCACAGGCGCCGAGCCAGAACAGAATTTAAAGCAGGACTTTTTAAAAAAGCAATATGAAGAATTTAACCTAATATTAGGTACATGTATTACTGAAATCTTAAATAGGTTGCTTATTTTCATATAATACACAGTTTATGAATATAATAAAATATTGGAAAAAATCAGGGTTTTTTTTGTTTGTTTGTTTTAGAGA